CCGATGCAGGACTGTCTTTGCTGTCAGGGAGCACGCAATCGCTGGGAGACGTGAGAAAGCAAAGGGTGTCTGCACTACACCCTGCCAGACCCGCTGCTCTGGGCCTATGTTCTATAAGGGGGGGTTGCATCGTGACACGCCCTGTTCTCTGATGAGTGGTACCCAGGCTTCGTTTTCTCCCCCAGGCTCATTCATGGGAGTCGTACCTCTGTGGCCTGTCCGGGCCTATCCCTGGCCTCCCCTCAACCCCCGCCGGGCTGTGACCAGCATGTGGTTTGCACAAGTGCCACGCCTAGTCCTTGGGAAACCTCCCTTCCTAAAGGGCCTGCCGGCCTCCTGCTGCTTATTCTGCTCCCTGACCCCCTTCCTTGGCCTCTTTTCCAACCTTTTGACCTTGGCTCCTTAATTATTTTTTCTTTGTCTCTGTATCGCATAGTGTGGGCCAGAGGGCTGCTAGCTGGTAGCATGAGGCTCTAGGAGTCACATCCCTGTGAAAGAGCTGAAGTTCTTCCCTCACCTCTCCCTCCTCACCTTCTCCCATGCGAGGTCCTTCACGTGTTTGCTTCTGGCCTCCCCGCAGCTTACACCAACAACCAGCCCGACATCGTCACCCAGGGCTGGTTCATCGGGCTCATGTGCGCCATCGCCCTGCTGGTGCTGATCCTGCTCATCGTCTGTTTCATCAAGAGGAGCCGTGGTGGCAAGTACCCAGGTAGGATGTGTCAGTGGAGGGGACTTGGGGGGGACTTGGGGAGTGGCCGGCAAGCTTTCCTGTGTGTCACTAGGTCCCCTGCCAGATCCGGGGGGAAGGGGGGGGGCTGTTCTCAGTGAGCCTAACCCTAGCCAAGAAACAATCCTCTTGCCTGTTCTATGCATCTTAGACCTGCCAGAAAGCTCTTGAGGTAATTAAGTTGCTTGAATTGGGCGGATGGAGCCGTCCAGGCAGCTCCAGAGAGGGCATGGGAGGAACCCTGGTCCCTGTTAAGAATGACCCTCCTTCCCTTGACTCACCATCCATCTGCTCGGTAAATTGGCTTTTCTCAGACCGAATCTCATTAGAAACCTGTGTCCAAGAAGGAGGAGGAGAGGCATATGCTCTAACCGTGAGAGAGAGTGTAGTGAGGAGGGTCTGGACAGAGGCAGCACAGCCAGGAGAGAGGCTGCAGCGTTGGGCTCGGCGTGGTGAGGACACCATTGCAGACACCCTAACAGGACAGCAGCTCCCACTGAGGAGCAGGCCGGGGCTGAGGGGCAGGACGCACTGACAGGGTCCCTCCTGGCCCTTCAAGGGCTTTGGGCTTCCCTAGAGGCCAAGGGGGCATTTCTCTTCTGTGGGCCTCAAGATCCTCCAGCCCAGATTAACCACGGTCAAGGACAAGGACCTCTGGTGTTCTTGTTTCTGGAACTATTGTCTTCAAATGGGCCAGACAGCCCCCTGTCTGCGATGGATTGGGCAGGGTGACAGGAGTCAGGATAACGGGTGGCCCTGAGAGTGAAAACCCTGCCCAGTTGCAGAGTGAAATTGACCCTTGCCCCTACAGCCCCGGTGGCCACACACGCCCCATGCTCCCAGTGCCTGCTCGTCTCCATCCTGGAGACCAAATCCTCCTCCAGGACCCACCTAAACTCAGAGAGCGGACACTTCCTTCTTCCCCTGCCCCTTACCCGCAGCCCCTGGGACTCTGAAGGGTTGTGCCTCTCCCTGAAGTGAGGGGCAGGCAGGAAATCCTCATTCTTGTTCCGGTGAATGATGTTTCACGCTGTGTGCTGTGCTGGGACTGTTTTTCTTCTGTAAGAGAGAAAGCCAGAGCTAGGGAGGTGGGCAGCCTGACTGCGTTCCTGTCCCTGTTCCAAATGGAACTGGACCCCCTGAAGAACTCCTCGGGGAGACGAAAGGGGCCCCTTAGAAAGCTGAGGGCACCAGGAGCCATGACGCCTGGGCCCGCGTCTTCACTCTCTAGACTCAGTTGCCAATTTGTTATGTGACGTGTCCTTCCCCTCTCAACGCCTGTTTTCCTCCCCTAAAAAGGAGGTGATGATCCTTCTTTACACCCCAAAAAAGGACAAATAGTCATTCCTTCATGACCTGCTGGTGCTAAGGATTCTAGAAGGAAAGACATCTCCCCTCAAGGACATGTCAGCGGGCACAGAAGGAAGAGCACAGCACAGGACAGGG